GTTAACATAACAGTCAATATTATGATACTGGGTGTAACTAACAACCGTCTAATAGACATGTAACTGGGTTTAACTAACGTCTACGGGAAGTTAACTGGGTTAACTAACAGTGATTGACTCTCTCTCGCTCTCCCCCTGTGTGTTTGTAGAGGCTCCATCTTGGGACCCAGCGTAGGGTTGGTTGGCTGGTTGAGGGCATGACGTCCAGCTCCACCTGTATCTGCAAGCCAACTATCCCTCCGCAATCAGATCGTTGGTTCAACAACCCACAGACAAGAGTCGTACAGGTACATGCCCCGCCACCCTCTGCAGTTCGGTTCCTCAGATTTCGTCCCTCTAGGAAGTTTTTCCTTGCCGCTGATCTACTTCAATACTGTAAAGTACTTTGAGGGTCTAGACCAGAATACTGTAAAGTACTTTGAGGGTCTAGACCAGAATACTGTAAAGTACTTTGAGGGTCTAGACCAGGAAGACTGAAAAGGTACTTTGAGGGTCGAGACAGGAAACTTGTAAAGTACTTTGGGGGGTCCAGGTCACTGTAAAAGTACCATTCTGGGGTTCTAGGTGGGCTTACTCTGTTAAAGTCATGGGGGCTAAGGTGGGTACTGTTAAAGTAAATTTGGGGGGGTCTAGGCTGGGCTGGGATGTAAAGTACCCTTTTTTCGGGGGTCTAGGCTGGGCTAATGCTAAAGTATTTGGGGGTCTAGGCTGGGCTACTGTAAAGTCCTTTGGGGGTCTAGGCTGGGCTACTGTAAAGTACTTTGGGGGTCTAGGCCAGCATACTGCAATTAAGTACAGATCTACCTGTGGCCTGTAGAGTTAAAAGGTGATTGGTTGATTGACAGGAAGTCCAGGAAGCCCTGGACACAACCAGGAAGTATGTGCTGCGTCGGTGCGGCGCTGGTGGGACCAACCTGACGGTCCTAGAGACAGATGGAACAACAGACAGCGGCCCCAATAGGGTGCTCTGCTAGCAACGTGTGGGAGGGACCGAGGATACCTGTTAACGCTATGGTTAATAGTAAGATCACTGTTAAACTATGGTCTAGAGAAAGATCCATGTTACCATATTGTCAAGAGAAAGATCAATTTTACCCTATTGGTCAAGAGTAAGAAGAACATATAAGCGTTAGTCTGTAAAAACATCACAAAAAACTAAAACTAAAAGTTTTTCTGATGACCGAAGGACTATTTCAGTAATGTCTTATGTTACATCCGCTCTCCTCACATCCCTTATGTTATCTGTCTCCTGCGTCTCCCCCCTCTCAGGAACCCCATGCCCCCAATTGTGACCCTGGTAGGCTGGTTTTACAGCCGTCGGGCAGCGAAAGAGGTGGAGATGGAGTGGCTGATGGAGGGAGGGAGACGGAGGAGAGGGAGGAGGTCTGACTGGGTTTTTCTACTTGAGCGGCAGACGGGAGGAAGGCAACTGGGGAGGAGGAGAGGAGAGGAGGAACAAGAGAAGGAGGAGAGAAGAGGTGGTGCAGTCTGCTGTGAACAAAATGTGTTGTGAGCAGAAAGAGCTTTGGGGGGGCCAGAGAACAAACAATAATACAATTGCTGTTGTTATGACTGGACTAGAAAAACTTTCTGCTGTTCCATAGATACACTGATTAGAACACAACTATCTAGTAAATTACCTGCTAGTTGTGGTCTATATAGTAGATGTGTGTTCTATCAGTTGAGTTAGATACCATGAGGTTTGTGTTTATATAGTAGATACCCTGCCTGGATAGTTGTTCTATCTAGTAGATACCCTGATAGTTGTTTATTCTATATAGTAGACCCTGTAGTTGTGTTTATATAGTAGATACCTGATAGTTGTGTTGTATCTAGTAGATACCCTGATAGTTGTGTTTCATATAGTAGATACCCCTGAAGTGGGTTGTATCTAGTAGATACACGATAGTTGTTTTATATAGTAGGGATCCCTGATAGTGTGTTCTATCTAGCAGCAACCCTGATAGTTGTGTTCTATCGAGTTGATACCCTGATAGTTGTGTTCTATATAGGAAGTAGATACCCTGATAGTTGTGTTCTATATAGTAGATACCCTGATAGTTGTGTTCTATCTAGAAATTACCCTGATAGTGGTGTTCATCTAGTAGATACACTGATAGTTGTTTCGATTAGTAGATACCCTGTAGTGGTTGTTCTATCTAGTTGAACCCTGATAGCTGTGTTTTCTATTAGGCAGATACCTGATAGTTGTGTTCTATCTAGTTTGAACCCTGATTGAGTTGGTGTGCTATATAGTTTAGTATACCCTTGATTAGTTGGTGTTCTATCTAGTACGATACCCTGATAGTTGTGTTCTAATAGCAGATACCCTGTGAGTTGTGTTCTATTATAGAATAGACCGATAGTTGTGGTCTAAATGTGATACCTGATAGTTTGTTCGATCTAGTAGATGACTGATAGTTGTTTGGGTTCTATAAGAAGATACATGATAGTTGTGGTCTATCTAGCAGATACCCTGATAGTTGTTTTTTGGGGGATTTCTATATTAGAACCCTGATAGGGTGTTATATCTAGTAGATAACATGAGAGTGGGATTTATATATTAGATACCCCACCAGTTGTGTTCTATCTACGTAATACCCCTGATAGTTGTGTTTATCTAGTAGATACCCTGATAGTTGTGTCTATCTAGTAGATACCCTGCTAGTTGTTTCTATCTAGTAAATACCCTGATAGTTGTGTGTTCTATCTAGTAGATAAACTAGATAGTTGGTTGTATCTGGTTGATTACCCTGATAGTTGTGTTCTATATAGTAGATACCCTGAAGTGTGTTGTATCTAGTAGATACACTGATAGTTGTTTCTATATTAGTAGATACCTGATAGTTGTGATTCTATAGAGAAGATACCATGAAGTTGTGTTCTATCTAAGCAGATACCCTGATAGTTGTGATTTATATAGTTAAGAGACCCTGACAGGTGTGTTCATCTAGTAGATACCAATAGTTGTGTTTCTATCTAGTAGATACATGTTAGTGGTGATTTATATATAGATACCCTAACAGTGTTGTTCTATCTAGTAGTACCACATAGTTGGGTTCTATCTAGTAAAAACATGATAGTTCGTATTTATTTGTTATCTAGATACCTAACATTTGTGGTCTATCTAGTAGATACCCTGATAGTTGGTTCTATCTAGTAGATTCCCTGATAGTTGTGTTCTATCTAGTAGATACCCTGATAGTTGTGTTATATCTAATAGATTACCCTGATAGTTTGTTTGTATCTAGTAGATACAAAGGATAGTTGTGTTGTATCTAGTAGATAACCCTGATAAGTTGTGTGTCTATATACGTAGATAAACTGATAGTTGTTTGTATCTAGTAGATACATGATAGTTGTTTTTATCTAGTAGTACCCTGATAGTGGTGTTCTATCTAGTGAATACAGATAGCTGGGTTCTATCTAGTAGATACCCTGATAGTTGTTGTTCTATATAGTAGATACCCTGATAGGTTGTGTTGTATCTAGTAGATACCTAATAGTGTGTTTTATATAGATATAGAAGATACCCTGATAGTGTGTTCTAAATAGTGATACCCTGATAGTTGTGTTCTATCTAGTCGAGATACCCTGATAGTGTGTTCTATATAGAAGATGACTCCTGATAGTTGGTTCTATCTAGAGAACCCTGTAGTTGGATTTATAATGATACCCTGACAGTTGTGTTCTATCTAGTAGATACCCTAATAGTTGTGTTCTATCTAGTAGATAACATGATAGTTGTGATTTATATATTAGATACCCTAACAGTTGTGTTCTATCTAGTAGATACTCTGATAGTTGTGTTCTATCTAGTAGATACCCTGATAGTTGTGTTCTATCTAGTAAATACCCTGATAGTTGTGTTCTATATAGTTGATACCATGATAGTTGTGTTCTATCTAGCAGATACCCTGATAGTTGTGATTTATATATTAGATACCCTGACAGTTGTGTTCTATCTAGTAGATACCCTAATAGTTGTGTTCTATCTAGTAGATAACATGTTAGTTGTGATTTATATATTAGATACCCTAACAGTTGTGTTCTATCTAGTAGATACCCTAATAGTTGTGTTCTATCTAGTAGATAACATGATAGTTGTGATTTATATATTAGATACCCTAACATTTGTGTTCTATCTAGTAGATACCCTGATAGTTGTGTTCTATCTAGTAGATACCCTGATAGTTGTGTTCTATCTAGTAGATACCCTGATAGTTGTGTTCTATCTAATAGATACCCTGATAGTTGTGTTGTATCTAGTAGATACCCTGATAGTTGTGTTGTATCTAGTAGATACACTGATAGTTGTTTTCTATCTAATAGATACCCTGATAGTTGTGTTCTATCTAGTTGATACCCTGATAGCTGTGTTCTATCTAGTAGATACCCTGATAGTTGTGTTCTATATAGTAGATACCCTGATAGTTGTGTTGTATCTAGTAGATACCCTAATAGTTGTGTTCTATATAGAAGATACCCTGATAGTTGTGTTCTAAATAGTTGATACCCTGATAGTTGTGTTCTATCTAGTAGATACCCTGATAGTTGTGTTCTATATAGAAGATACCCTGATAGTTATGTTCTATCTAGCAGATACCCTGATAGTTGTGATTTATATATTAGATACCCTGACAGTTGTGTTCTATCTAGTAGATACCCTAATAGTTGTGTTCTATCTAGTAGATAAACATGATAGTTAGGTTGGATTTATATTTAGATACCCTAACAGTGTGTTCTATCTAGTAGATACTCTGATAGTTGTGTTCTATCTAGTAGATACCATGATAGTTGTGTTCTATCTAGTAGATACCCTGATAGTTGTGTTCTATCTAGTAAATACCCTGATAGTTGTGTTCTATATAGTTGATACCCTGATAGTTGTGTTCTATCTAGCAGATACCCTGATAGTTGTGATTTATATATTAGATACCCTGACAGTTGTGTTCTATCTAGTAGATACCCTAATAGTTGTGTTCTATCTAGTAGATAACATGATAGTTGTGATTTATGTATTAGATACCCTAACAGTTGTGTTCTATCTAGTAGATACCCTGATAGTTGTGTTCTATCTAGTAGATACCCTGATAGTTGTGTTCTATCTAGTAGATACCCTGATAGTTGTGTTCTATCTAGTAGATACCCTGATATTTGTGTTCTATCTAGGAGATACCCTGATAGTTGTGTTCTATCTAGTAAATACCCTGATAGTTGTGTTCTATCTAGTAGATACCCTGATAGTTGTGTTCTATCTAGTAAATACCCTGATAGTTGTGTTCTATCCAGTAGATACCCTGATAGTTGTGTTCTATATAGTAGATACCATGACAGTTGTGTTATATGTAGTAAAATACCCTATTTATTGTGTTCTATATATTAGATACCCTGATAGTTGTGTTCTATCTACTAGATACCCTGATAGTTGTGTTTTATCTAGTAGATACCCTGATAGTTGTGTTCTATATAGTAGATACCCTGAGAGTTGTGTTCTATATAGTAGATATATGTGATCCTCTGTAACTCATTTGGTAGAGCATGGCGCTTGTAACGCCAGGGTAGTGGGTTCGATCCCCAGGACCACAAATACGTAAAAATGTATGCACACATGACAGTAAGTCGCTTTGGATAAAACCGTCTGCTAAACGGCATATTATATTATATACCCTGATAGAACACAGCTATCTAGTATATACCCCGATAGCTGTGTTCTATCGAGCAGATACCTTCAAAGTTGTGTTCTATCTAAAAGATAACATGATAGTTGTGTTCTATCTACTAGATACCCTGATAGTTGTGTTCTATCTAGTAGATACCCTGCTAGTTGTGTTCTATCTAGTAAATACCCTGATAGTTGTGTTCTTTCTAGTAGATACCCTGATAGACCACAACTATCCAGCAGATACCCTGATAGTTGTGTTCTATCTAGTAGATACCCTGATAGTTGTGTTCTATCCAGTAGATACCCTGATAGTTGTGTTCTATCTAGTAGATACCCTGCTAGTTGTGTTCTATCTACTAGATACCCTGATAGTTGTGTTCTATATAGTAGATACCCTGATAGTTGTGTTCTATCTAGTAGATACGCTGATAGTTGTGTCCAACTAGTAGATACCCTGATAGTTGTGTCCAACTAGTAGATACCCTGATAGTTGTGTTCTTTATAGCAGATACCCTGATAGAACACCACTATCTAGTAGATACCATGATAGACCACAACTATCTAGTTGATACCCTGATAGTTGTGTTCTATATAGTAGATACCCTGATAGTTGTGTCCAACTAGTAGATACCCTGATAGTTGTGTCCAACTAGTAGATACCCTGATAATTGTGTCCAACTAGTAGATACCCTGATAGTTGTGTTCTATATAGCAGATACCCTGATAGAACACCACTATCTAGTAGATACCATTATAGACCACAACTATCTAGTACAGGGGTGTCAAACTCATTTTAGCTCAGGGGCCACATGGAGGAAAATCTATTCCCAAGTGGGCCGGACCGGAAAAATCATGGTATATATAACTTAAAAACAACAACTTCAGATTGTTTTCTTTGTTTTAATACGATCAACATACAACATAAAGCTGGAGCCTGAGGACAGTGTGTCCAAAATAGTACAAGCACAACATCACTATTAATCATAAAACACGTCAAGTTTATTTGAAAATTCTAAAGAAAAAGAACACACAAACACACAATGCCTCAGTGATTAACAGAACTGTTTCACAGATCACAGAACTATATCAGGGTGTCATTTCTCAGGCAGAAATGTAGATAAAAATAATGAAATCCTGTTCCCCAACAAGTGCAAGAACCACAGAGTCAAGAATAGGTTAAATATACAAATAAAATAAAATCTATTAAAAACAATAGCACATCAACATAAAAACATATAAACATAAATCTGAAAGCGTTGCTCAAACTCCCGTAACAGTCCCGTTATTTTATCTTTGAACCGCTTCATGTCTGCCACATGTTGGGTCGCGCACACATTTTTCAGACAGGGGAAGTGAGCTGCATCACCACCGGCAAGTTGCGTCTCCCACAATGACAGCTTCAACTTGAAAGAACGTATGCTGTCATAATACTGTGTGACAACTTTCTTGCGCCCTTGCAGCTGTTTGTTCAAGTTATTCAGGTGCTCTGTAACATCCACCATAAATGCAAGGTCCTGCATCCATTCTGCGGAATGAAATTCTAACACTGGTTTGCCCTTTTCTTCCATGAACTGTTCAATTTCTTCTCGTAAATCAAAGAAACGCCTCAGCACAGCACCTCGGCTTAACCATCTTACCTCAGTGTGGTATGGCAGGCCATAGATGTGGTCTTTCTCTCTGAGAAGGCTGTCAAACTGACGGTGATTCAGGCTTCTGGATCGGATTAAATTAACAGTTTGGATGACCACCTTCATGACGTTATCCATCTTTAATGACTTGCAACACAAAGCCTCCTGGTGCAAAATACAGTGAAAAGTCAAAAAATCACGTCCTCCATTTGCAGATTGCACTTTCTCTCTGAACTTTGTCACAACGCCTGCTTTTTTCCCGATCATTGAGGGCGCACCATCTGTAGCCAGGCTGACAGCGCGGGACCAGTCCACTCCGACCCTGTCCAGCGCGCCGACGAGTGCGGTAGAAATATCAGCTGCTGTCGTTGTATCTGTCATCGGCACCAACTCCACAAACTCCTCGGTGACGGTCAATGTGTCATCAACTCCGCGGATGAAAATGGCCAGTTGTGCAACATCTGTAATGTCCGTGCTTTCATCAATTGCAACCGAAAACGCAATAAATGACTTTACTTTTTGCTTCAACTGGCTGTCCAAATCCACTGAAAGATCGGAAATCCTGTCTGCAACTGTGTTTCTTGTCAGGCTGATATTTGCAAAAGCCTGCCGCTTTTCAGGGCACACAATCTCCGCTGCCTTCATCATGCATGTTTTTACAAATTCACCCTCACTAAATGGTTTTGAAGCCACTGCGATTTCATTAGCAATGAGGTAGCTAGCTTTCACTGCAGCGTCACTGATGTCTCGGCTGTGAGTAAACACAGACTGCTGTTTCTTCAGACCCGCCAACAGTTCATTCACCTTCTCTCATCTCCGCTGTCCTTGAAAGTTGTCATATTTGTCGGCATGAAGACTCACATAGTGGCGACGAAGGTTATATTCTTTCAGCACTGCAACATGCTCTGAACACACCAAACATACAGCTTTCCCATTCAATTCCGTGAATAAATAGGATGACCATTTTTCTTGGAACACTCTGCACTCTGTGTCCACTTTTCTCTTTTTTGACAGAGACATATTGGGGCAATGAGGGTGCCAAAGCACATAATGTTAAAAGTAGAAGCCGTAATAAATATCGCGGGCAAAACAAAGTAGCTCATTGGCTGCACGTGCTTGACCTACTTGCTCTGCCCCGGTATAAACAGTTTGCTTGCTTAACACAATTGCTATTGCGCCATCCAGTGGACGCAATTGGAACAGCAGTTTATTTTATTAAAAAATTGCAGCGCATTTTTATACTTAAAAAAAAAAAAAAAATATATATATATATATATATAAATATGTTTTTTTTTTTCAAAATCATCTCGCGGGCTGGATTAAACCAGTTTGCGGGCCTGATCCGGCCCGCGGGCCGGACGTTTGACACCCCTGATCTAGTAGATACCCTGATAGGGTATCTACTAGATAGAACAAACCTATCATGGTATCTACTGGATAGAACACACCTTTTAGGGTATCTACTAGATATAACTCCACTAATAGTTGTGTTCTATCCAGTAGATACCCTGATAGGTGTGTTCTATCTAGTAGATACCCTGATAGAACACAACTATCTAGTAGATACCCTGATAGTTGTGTTCTATCTAGTAGATACCCTGATAGTTGTGTTCTATCTAGTAGATACCCTGATAGTTGTGTTCTATCTAGTAGATACCCTGATAGTTGTGTTCTATATAGTAGATACCCTGATAGAACAAAACTATCTAGTAGATACCCTGATAGTTGTGTTCTATCTAGTAGATACCCTGATAGTTGTGTTCTATATAGTAGATACCCTGATAGTTGTGTTCAATCTAGTAGATATGCTGATAGTTGTGTCCAACTAGTAGATACCCTGATAGTTGTGTTCTATCTAGTATATACACTGATAGTTGTGTTCTATCTACTAGATACCCTGATAGTTGTGTTCTATATAGTAGATACCCTGATAGTTGTGTTCTATCTAGTAGATACGCTGATAGTTGTGTCCAACTAGTAGATACCCTGATAGTTGTGTTCTATCTAGTAGATTCCCTGATAGTTGTGTTCTATATAGTAGATACCCTGATAGAACAAAACTATCTAGTAGATACCCTGATAGTTGTGTTCTATCTAGTAGATACCCTGATAGTTGTGTTCTATCTAGTAGATACCCTGATAGTTGTGTTCTATCTAGTAGATACCCTGATAGTTGTGTCCAACTAGTAGATACCTTGATAGTTGTGTTCTATCTAGTAGATACCCTGATAGTTGTGTTCTATCTAGTAGATACCCTGATAGTTGTGTTCTATCTAGTATATACACTGATAGTTGTGTTCTATCTACTAGATACCCTGATAGTTGTGTTCTATATAGTAGATACCCTGATAGTTGTGTTCTATCTAGTAGATACGCTGATAGTTGTGTCCAACTAGTAGATACCCTGATAGTTGTGTTCTATCTAGTAGATTCCCTGATAGTTGTGTTCTATATAGTAGATACCCTGATAGAACAAAACTATCTAGTAGATACCCTGATAGTTGTGTCCAACTAGTAGATACCCTGATGGTTGTGTTCTATCCAGTAGATACCCTGATGGTTGTGTTCTATATAGTATATACCCTGATAGTTGTGTTCTATATATTGTAGATACCCTAATAGTTGTGTTCTATTTAGTAGATACCCTGATAGTATAGGTATCTACATTTTACATTTACATTTACGTCATTTAGCAGACACTCTTATCCAGAGCGACTTACAAATGGATGCAGTCACCTTATAGCTAGTGGGATAACCACTTTACAATATGTTTTTTTTTTTTTTTGGGGGGGGGGGGGGGGGGTAGAAGGATTACTTTATCCTATCCCAGGTATTCCTTAAAGAGGTGGAGTTTCAAGTGTCTCCGGAAGGTGGTGATTGACTCCGCTGTCCTGGCGTCGTGAGGGAGCTTGTTCCACCATTGGGGTGCCAGAGCAGCGAACAGTTTTGACTGGGCTGAGCGGGAACTGTGCTTCCGCAGAGGTAGGGGGGCCAGCAGGCCAGAGGTGGATGAACGGAATGCCCTCGTTTGGGTGTAGGGACTGATCAGAGCCTGAAGGTACGGAGGTGCCGTTCCCCTCACAGCTCCGTAGGCAAGCACCA